TTCCAGGACGAGGCGACATCCATGGAGCTCGGATAGTTTAGCAGAGAAAATATGTATGCTCGCACCGTGCCGTGTCCATACTAATAAGATGTGGACGTGTCTGCCAGGGTGGAGCTGGCAGACACTCCGCTGTCTTGGGTCTCCGGCCGTGCAAGCGGCTCGCGGCTCGCGGGTCTTGCACACCTATATAGTGCGGCCGCAGACCCGGCTCGCACCTAAAACCTCGCTCACTTTTCACTCCTTCCATTCGTCCGTTTCGGTTTGTCCAGTGCTCTGCCGTAGTAAGGAAGAACGCCGTATCAACATTTGAGAGTTGCCAGATTTCCTGCGATAAAATGTTCGTTTTGGAGGAAAGTTACGAATATTTTTCCTTGAAATTTTCAGGAACGTTATGTAAAATTGCGAGCAAAAGTATCTGAAAAATTGGAAAGAAAATGTTCATAAGTTTACCAGGAAATTCGTGTTTTATCATAGGGATTTTGGCAACGCCTGGAGGTTCGTTGTTCATACGGCGTTTTTCCTTAGCACGGCAGTATGGGAAAACGCTGTATGAGTCATTAGGAGTTGTCAAATTTCCCCTGCTAATAAAACATTAATTTATGAGGAAAGTTATGAAAATTTTTCCTTGAGATTTTAAAATCCTCTCGATCAAACTGCTGGTGAAATTCTCGGAAAAATTGGAAGAAAAACAACAGACAGTTTCATTAGAAATTCGTATTATATCGAAAGCAATGTGGCAACGCCTGATGGCTCATACGGCGTTTTTTCTTAGCACGATAGAGTACTCTGCCGTACTTTGGAAGAACGCCGTATGAACCTTCAGCGTTGTCAAACTTTCTTCGATAAAACACGAATTTCCTGGTAAAATTATAAATCTTTTTCTTCCAATTTTGCAGATAATTTGTACCGTAATTCCGCCGAAAAGTCCTGAAAATTCCAAGGGAAAATATTTATAACTTTCCTTACAAAAGAGCTGATTATCGGAGGATATTTAGCAACTCTCGAATGTTCATACCGCAGCCCATTTCAGTTGTTTCTTCACCGCGTGAAAGGGATGAAACTGTCAAAAATCTCCCCAAACATCGACCGGCTTACCAGGATTTTTCCCGCCTCCTGTCCGCTTCTGAAAATCACTATCTTTCAATTTTTAGAAAGGAAGTAAACGAACAATCTCATCTCCATTTCGTTAAATATTCGTCCATCAAATACAAATCCACTTGAGTAAATTCAAGCACTCGGTACTAAAAAGTTGACTTTCGTGATACATCAATTTCTCCAAGTTTTTTTTTAATGAATCGATGAATATTAGAAAATGATTCAATTGGACGGTTAGAATCTTGTACTGATGGAACCCTTCCTTAGGACTGGATATGAGTAGCCAAATGATGAGCAATTTCAAAGTCTTCTCTATTTCTTAAACGTAGTAGCTCTCTCTACACAACAACATCCAATCGTACCGATCGATTGGTTTTCGACGTATTAAAATAATCGAAGTTCGCACACTTGTCCATGCAAGACCGCGCATTAAAATCGAAACTGAGAGGCGGGTTGCATTGCGACGCTAGTTTCTAACAAGGCAGACTCGAGGATCCTCACAAGTACCTCGACACGGTTGTCACACCTTGGAGAAAATCCCGCGTTCATGAATAAGCGGTAATATACGTCCGTGGAACACCTGTCAACGGGGGGGTTCAACACATGACCAAGAGGCGGGCAGCGTGAAGATGGAGGAAAACCCATGGCTGATAACTTACACTAACAGGATCTTTCAAGGCTACACAAGCGACAGGTATGCCACGGTCTTCCCGCCCTCTCCCTTTTCTTCTACACTAATCTGTTACGCGTCTTCGCCTCACAG